CTTATTAAATTAGCCAACTCTAATTTTACCAGATAACTTTAAGTAAACGTACCTACTTAATATAATATCGTAGTAATGTACGGAACCAGCTCTTTGTTTAAACAAATCATATCTGATATCCATCTGCAGCTTCACTGCGTGACACAAACCCATGTAGAGTTAATGCGAGCTAACTATGTATCATACTAACAGCTCGAAAGCAGTATAGCTATTTAAAGACTACGTAGAGACCAATAAGGTTGAATGGAGATCAAGGACTGTGCGTCTTTGATGCGTTTATTGATCTAATTAAACATATGATACCTTAATGATATAACATGGCTCTCCATGTGTTTGTAAATAGATTGTGCGATGTTATAGAAGTTTTTAATGCTCCTCCTTTGTTCTTCTGATCAATTTCGTTGCGGGTCCAATGACAGTTAACTTTCCCCCGGGATAAACTTGACCTTCAATAGTTGGGTTTTTATTCGCGGTCAAGCTGTAGATAATGGCTAAACAGGAGTTGCAGTAGAAACGAAAGGTGGGAATATTCCCGTACTGGAGAGAACCAGATAAAAGTAATAACGTATCTGAGTTCTAAAACTCTGGTTTCATCATCATCATCATCTCAGCCATAGGACGTCCACTGCTGAACATAGGCCTCCCCCAATGCTTTCCATGTTGCTCGGTTGGAGCGGCCTGCGTCCAGCGCCTTCCCGCTTCCTTTATGATGTCGTCGGTCCACCTTGTCGGGACGTCTGTCCCACGCTGCGTTTTCCGGTACGCGGAAACTCTGGTTTACATTTGTCTTTGTAAAACGAAAAAATTTTATTATCAGCTTCATGATTAGGGATTTAATAGTGCGTTGAAAAATGTAGAGCCATCACTGGCAGAAAGTCTTAAACTTACAGGAAGAGAAAAAAAATCCCTACCAATAATATTAAAGTAACACATAACCAGGGCATGTAATATCGGAAGGTTTTCAATTCCGATATTGGATTCCGATATTAGATCTCAATATCGGAATTCCGATATTAATATCGGAATTGAGTTCATGTGCTATAAAATTAATATTTGGTTATATTCGTAAGAATTCTGGATTGTTTACAATAAAATAATGATTTTAATCAAAATCTTTAATTTGGGACAAAACAGCACTTCATAAAATTAAAGTATTTTAAAACCATTTTTACGTTATGGGTATCCATTGCATTTGGTTTTTTATGTGACAAGAGGCAAACGAGCAGACGGATCACCTGATAATGAATGGTTACTGATAATGAGCCTATATGGACTAGCAAATAATTAAAGTGTTTTTGTAAAATCACAGGTATCAAACTAATTTTTACTCCTTCATTATATTACCCTGTTTTATGTTGGCGGGACGAATTTTAGAGTCATTCAAATCACGTGTTACAAAAATTGTAGAGTGGTAAAAAATGTCAATATGCTTGTAATTTGTTCCTTTTTGATTATCGATGTACAACTCACAAAACCACTAGCCAGGCATATGTCAGCCATAGGACGTCCACTGCTGAACACAGGCTCCGATGCTGATTTTCACAATAGCCGGTTGGTGGCGGCCTGCATCCAGCGCCTTCCTGCTATCTTTATGAGGTCGTCGGTCCACCTTGTGGTTATGAGTCCTACGCTACGCTTTCCGGTACGTGGCCTCCACTTCAAAACCTTGCTGCCTCATCGTCCGTCTGTTCTGCGTACTAAAGCAGAACCGTTGGAAGACCTTATCACAATGCTCAAAGAGTTTCCCAACAGGTAGGCCTTCGGATGAATATGGAAAAAACGAAGCTTATGTCGAATGTCCATGTTGCTTCTTACCCAGTTTCGGTTAGGAGCTCGATTCTCGAGATTGTTGACAAGTATGTCTATCTCGGACAAACGATCAGCTAGGTAGTTAGATGCAATTTAGAGAAAGAGGTAAATCGTCGAATACGAAGACGAAAGTCTTCAATTAGTACGTGTTACCAGACCAGTGATGATATACGGCTTGAAAACGTGGCCTTTGAATATAGGGCACAACGTGCTATGGAGAGGGATAAGCTTGTGTGGTGTGGTGGGTGTTTCTTTACGAGATCTAATCAGAAATGAGGAGCTCCGTAAACTAACTAAGGTCGCTGACATAGCCCGACGGATTAGCAAGCTGAAGTGGCAATGGCAGGACACATAGTACGCAGAACTGACGGTCCATAGTCCAGTAAAATTAATGCTTGAAAGGGAGTTGAGATGTCGTTCTTTGTTGACCAAGCACCTATGGCAAATGCGTAAATTGATTTAGAATAAGTTAAATTAACCATAAATAGTAAAGATATTAAAATATTTGCAGTGGAACAAAAAGTGATTATGAGAGACATGAGAAAATCATTGGTCTTTGCCTATCATGTACTTTAGGCTTTGTGGCAGGTTGTGGCGAGTTTAAACGCTTTGTTTACAATCTCAATTAAAACTTTTATCTGATTCCGATATTACGATATTGGGTCGCTCAATATCGGAATTGAAATATCGGATCTTGCAGTCCGAGATTCCGATATTACGAGATTCCGAGATTCCGATATTCATGCCCTACACATAACGCTAAAATAACGACTCTACAATGAGGGTTTTCGCGTATGAAAAATCCGCCAGATGGCAATACGTAGATGCGAGGTCCAAATTCTGCACGATTGGTTATTTTTGACATGACATTGACAGATATGTCAAAATACACCAATCACGCAGCAGTCAGACCCCACATCCACGTCCCGCCATCTAGGGGATCTTTCATACGCAAAAACCCTCATTCAAGCCTATCTTGAATCCATGCTTGAGTCTGAATCGAGTTTCACGTCGTATCATAAGTACGGGCCTAGGCTGACACTCCGTGAAAGGCCAATCACCGCCAATGTTAAGGTCGTGGTTTATGCCATCCGTCAAGCATTTTGGCTTTGATTGATTTGTAAATAACTTAGGGGTTAAATAGCAGCGAAATTTTGAAGACTTGATGAAATCAAGCACTTGTAAATAAATATTTCTTTACCATAATTACTTTGCTATGCAAATGAAGAGAGATTTCAAGAAATAACTATAATTATTTTAGACTTTAAAATAATTGATCTCAGTAAGGGATTCGTTTACACTGTAGATAATATTTAGGTATGTATCAAAGCAATGTTAATAGGGAATTAATTCTACCGCCCTAAACTGCAAGATCTACTCGAGATCTAGTGAGAAAGAGTGAAAAGCCTTTTTATTTTAGTAAAAAAATGTAGACAAGTAATAGAAATTGAGATATATTTTGTAACAAAATAATTGGACAAGATAAATAAAGATGTTAATTATATTCTTTGGACCGTTACACGCGACTTTGCAAACTAATTATTAGTATGTAACGAGTCTGTTGAATTTGGCAACCATTTTGACCTGAGCCATCAGTCAAATGTTGCGGCCTACCATTGTAATCCATTTAGATTAGATCCACCTACTTTACTTTACTTTACTACTAGCTTAATATGAAAAGTTCATTATTACGAGTACCACAGCGAACTTTTTTTTGTCAAAGAGGGACAACTAAATTTTATCCCAGGAAAATGGCCTATCCATACCTACCGCCCGGGGACGGCAGGTTATGTGGGTACCCAACCCAAGTATTTCGAACCCACTAAAACTTTGGGGTGTTCCCTCTGCCACATAGTGGTGCAACTCGTACTCGTACCTATCGCTTTTACAACTGCAACTTCTATGCAGCCAGGATCTACTACTCAATGTTTGTTAAAACCTAACCAGTGAGTGCTAAATCAATCTTGGGGGAAACTGAATAGTGTTCTGCCGATGGAATGGAATCATAACGAAATTAGTCAATAATTTTGGAGTACAAAGCTGAAGAAGATGGGCTTTTTTCAGTGCAAAACGGATCAGATGATGATGAGAAACCTTTACGAGAGAAATGATGTATGCGTTTTTCATAAAGTATTAAGTAAGTTTTCGTCAACCTACGTCATTTTTATTGTGTCTCGTACCTACATTCGTACATGGCAATAAGACCTATAGAGTCTAGACTCTAGATTGTAGAAAACCGACAATCTGAATGCCACAGAGACATTAATCAAATATTTTTGAAAAAAGTCCATATACATTCTAAAGACGTTAAATTTTAATATATTCATTATCCTCGGACGTCCGAAGTAAAAGTGGTTTTTGAACGTTTCAATGTGGTTATTATCGAAACGTCACATTATAATTATGGCCTTCAGCTTTTGCGAGCTTTTAACATTGGCAACTGAAAGCCATGGTAGCCTCTGGCTAAGCTGTCAGCGGCTTTGTGATTTATGTATGACGACTATAGAAGTAAAAAGGCAAGGAAAGAAAAGATATTTATGGTTTTACTATTATTTTACTAGATACTTTACATTTGCAAATGACAGCTGTTGTCTAGTTTGACTACCATGGTTAGAGCAGTGAACTCGACTATATTTGCGCATAGGGTTCAATTACCATTCGAGTTAATTAAAAAAATATATTAGTAATGTAATTTCTTACTACTATTTCTTTATTGTTACAACCGAACCATTTCGATAGGTGAGAAATTCCTTTAATATCAAAATTAAAACACCTTATTTTTGTAATAAAAATGATACAATCATGTTACTTTTATCTCATCTTTTGGACAATGGTTAATAAAACTGATAAGTGCAACGCCCCCGAAATGTTTGCACAAAAATGCATAAAATTATCATAATTTTCGAATGAGCATACCTAACGAGAGACATAACCTCGCAATTTAGATCACAAATAAATCCATTAAATTGATCCAGTTCTGCACAATGGCGATTGATATTGACGGACGACCTCTGACCAAATCAGCTATCAATCACCGAAAATCAAAAAAATCGCATGACGCCCTCCAATTAGACAAACTTCCTACACTGCACATCTCCCTAGCTTGCACAACTGAGCCATCCTTTCGCTTCCCCCCCGCCAGCAATGTTCAGGTATATAGCGTCAGATGACTCTGCCAAGAACACATTACTTCTCCACGACCCGTAGTGACCCATCACTAAGCACCATGAAAGCCTTCGTAGCGGTAAGTACAGTGACAGTGAGTGGCAGTGACAAGTGACAAGTGTGGTGACGTTCCGAAATCAAATGAAGTGTTGTGAAGTGACGACTCTATAGCCCGTTTCCCATTTTCAATCCTTGTCTAAATCCGGATTTCAACTGTCAAATTTAATTCAGTTTTAGATTAAACATCCACAATTTTCGATGCGTTTACACTTGAATATTGTTTAAATAGTCTTATAAATAATAAGAAAATGTAAAGAAAACATCGAAAACCGCAGACATTTGACCAAAATCTTGGATAAGGATTGAATATAGAAAACCAGCTTAAATGATTATTCGATCGACGGTTGCACCCGTATGCACTTCAATTGATTTCTGAATCGCGCAGTTGCTAGGATTCGATGCAGCTAGGATGAGTCCTGTGATCGTTATGAATAAATAACGTATAGTTAACGGGTCAAGTGAAACAATCGATTTAAATTCAGTTAAAGTCGCAGTGATTTACGCGGTCGAAACTAACGGTCAAGCGCATCCAAATTCATACCAAGTTCCTTAAAAGTTTGTTTTTGTTTTTCGAACATTCTGAATCACGACTTATGATTTTCTTTTTAGTCTATCGGGAAAACTAGTTATGTGAAATTAATCTTCGTTCTCTTATTTCTAAAGAAGAGAGTCGCAAAAATATAGAGCACATCTCTTAACCAATTTAATTTATTGCCTTCGTTGATAATTTACTAGTTACAGTGTGTCAACTAAAACATTTTTGTCAGTTCACAAGACATTAACACCATCTCAAATTGATCAACTCATCAACCCAACAATGCAAATTCACATAATTTCACCGCTATCAAGATCGGAAACCATTAAATCTGACTATTGAGGTGTCAAGAAGGTAGTAATAAATTAGTATAATCGTCTCACGGTCTTGTCCCGAACAATTGAACTAAGATACAAATGTTAGAGATAAAATTCATAATTCCCATTAGTGAAATGATTTCACATTAAAATAGTCTATAGCCAAGACTGGAAATGAAAGCAGATTGGCTTGATACAAGTGCTTAGACATTTTCAAGAGCAAAAAGAAATGAAGATTACACTGCAATTGTTCAAATTATGCAATTCGAGCTTATTCTGTACAATAAAGATAACAATCTAAGTATGAAAAGACTCGTTGCAATAGAGATGTAACAAAAGAGGGTAAGTAATCGTAAATCAAAAAGAAAATAATCTATTATATAAAAGAAAGTCGTGCTAGTTACTCCACTTATAACTCAAGAACGGCTGAACTGATTTAGCTGAAAATTGTCAGGGAGGTAGTTTAGAGCCAGGAGAAGGACATAGGATACTTTTTGTCCCGTTATTTATTGCCATTAAGGCGGAACAAAGTTCGCCGGGTCAGCTAGTTATGTATAAATGCACTGCCTGCAAAAAAATTTAAAAGCATTTAATATTTTTTTTTATTCTTATAAAAATCGAAAAATGATTTGCTGTCTACAAACGCAAATTTATTTTAACTATTGTAAGCATAACTTTTATAAGCACGTAAAAGTCACATTACACGGCTAATGCATATTCATAAAAACATTAAAACAGTAATTAATTGAGACATACAGGGTGTAACTCTCTGAAAAAGTGAGTTCATGATTCTAAGTCGAAGACCAATGGAATGGACTTACTGCAAAATTCATAACTGCTGATTTTTAATCTACAGTTTTCAGAGTTTATTTTTTTTACTATACGAGATTGGTTCAGGGTAATTTCAAATCAGTGGCAAAGTTATATTCAACACCAACTTATTCTAAGCACCCTGTCAATAAGTTGCACAGTAATTAAGCTTGCATTTCTAACGCTTAACGTTTATTACACTACTTTACACCTAGATATTATGCTTTTGCCATTATTTTTATGTGATAATAGTCCCACGTCATAAATACCTATTCTACATTATATTTGTTAGCTTTCTTTAACTAAGCATTATATTGAAGGTATTAATCCTGCTTACACAGTTGAAGCAGTAGGAACGAGAGATGAGAATTGTCCTGTTCTCTACCATCATTTGTAACATACATGAAAGATGAAAGTAGTCCCGTACTCTACCGTCATTTATTCCGAAAAAACCACAATTTGTGCTTGGCATTGTAAACCTGTAAAAACTTTGAGTATTGATTAATTTTCTAATTTAAGTGGTTGAGCATTATTGAAGATGTTAATTCTTGTTACACAGTACATATTTGCAAACGAAAGATGGAAACTCTGCCGTCATTTGTTTCAAACAAGAAACATCTCGTGGTGGGAATGCTCTCTCGTCATTTATTTCAAACAACGTGTGCTTAGCACTAATCTTCTAATTTAAGTCCCAAGTTACCAGTTAGGTAACTATAAATTTCATCTGAGCAGGCTCATCAGGTGACCAGTAGATCATGCAATGCAAGCGGCCTGCGCGTGCGCTGATGCAACGGTCACAGGTCAGCTGTAATGCACTCGGGAACATTATGGACATATTTGATCGGGAAATTGCGTTTTGATACCTAAATTACTTTAGCATAACGATTTTCATATATTAGAGCCCTTTGCTGTAACCATTTCAACATACAGGTAAACGGTTGTCAATAATGTTTTAGTTTGTTTACGAAAGTAAAGGAGAATAAAGTTTAAACTCACACACACTTGCAAGTTTAATGCACAAAAACAAACAAAAAGTCAAACATAATCAAAAATTCACTTTCTAGTGCTTTTCAAAAGCAAATTAAGAGGAATCTGCATAGATTAACACCTATTTATTAATTTAGAATTTCTCTAATCTTCGCAAATATTCATTAACATAATATTGCCATAAAGTCCGATACTGATATCGCTCGAAGACTTTCTGAATTCATGCAGTTGATTTTCGTATATGGTGAAAAGCTCATTTAAAGTGGACTAACAAATTACAAGCAACATGTATGATATTATAATTAAGACTCCGACTTACAATATTTCAGACATCAATGCAGCGTCTTCCTGAAAATTACTACAAAACATTCGTCATGAAACCTAAAAGTAGTTAAAGAATAAGAAACGTTTGTGTGCGTATGGATATAATCGCATATCCCCATGTCCTGTAATGTAATTTAATCGAATCCAGAAACTCCCTTTCTTACAATTAATTTAAAACAACATTTTGATGCTAATGCAGTACAATAAAAATACCGAAAGTGGCAATTTATTCCTTGTGAAGCTCCTACATTAGTTTTAATAAATTCAAGAGATAACAGCCATTAAGAGCATTTTATCATTCCACGGTAGCATCGCAAAAAAACAAATCGTGTATCTCACAAACAATCTATTAATAACAATCTCATAGACGCTAGAACAGCCTTTCGATGACGCCCCTTGTGGGCGCTGCAATATTAAAGGGGGACGGGAGGGACCCAGAAAAAAATCGGAGCGTTTTGTAGAGGCCCCCCAAGGCGATTTGTTTCATCTACTACGAGGACTCTTAGACACCGACTGAGCTCTCGATTCTCGACTACAATAAATGGGGGCGCTAAAAATATTTATTCTCAAAGTGGGCACTAGCTAAATAAGTTTGGGAACCCCTGCGCTAGAAAGTCATAACTGCTAAATATGCATAACTACACCAATATAGTAGACATCGAATTAAAACTGCATAATGTTGAAGGCGAAATTCATATGTTACGTCGCAGTCGTAATCTATCTTCGAAATAATGCTTTTGAAAGTATTTTTCACAATTCACTTCCTGAAAGTGTTCTTTGAGATATTGTTGCGTTCTTTTATTCTGAATGCAATTTGATGACTCAATAAAAGTTTAAAGTGTTGTATTTCTTTCAAATAGTAACAGACTGCACTTATAAGATAGTGCTACTAATGCTCTACATGAAAAACGCGAAAAACTCAATTTACATGTTTAACTTTTCACGCGTAAACTGTTTGATTTTCATTAAATAATTTTAACCAGAGAAAAGTAATTCGCAAGAATGTTATAGGGGAAAAAATTAATGAAAGTTTGGGGGAACAAGATACGGATTTGAAAATTTATGTTGGGGTTTGGTAACGAACAAGTTTTTCTTTATCTCGGATTAACCTTTTGACCAATAAACACGCGAGCGTAACCACGAGCAGAAGCTATGTTGAAAACAAACTATGTCAAGCAGTGAACTATCAAAACAACTTACAAGTAGGTACATAGATTTTCCTCATTGATTTAGCAACCATTAGCCAATACAAACAGTATAACTTTTATAGCCACATAAATACATGACCCGGCTACTAATATTTATACCATGTAAGGTCATAACGGGCGTAACGTTACCTGTGACCCCAATGCGGGATCTTCAATCGATAATCGGTATTCCGAGTTGATAGAGTGTGGTAATCGATACTATTGTTCGAGTTAAATATCTAATAGACGGTGTTGGTTACATCATTGTTTTGATGGCGACAAGGCTAGGTTAAAAAGTTGATAGTTTGTAAAACAAATATTCTTAAGGTGTCTTTTACAATAACATTTTTATATGCATTTAATTCTCATTAATATGCATTTCATTTCATTTATTTTGATAATAATAAAAATAACACGCAGGTATGCAATAAACATTCCTAACTATAATAAGATTCAGTTGCTTTTATGTTCGTACTAACACTTTTACTTTACCATCATAAATAAGTAAAATGCTTTTATCTTGACATTCGACAACCACTAAAATTACCATGATCAGCATAAAGCAATAAAATCTCGCATCAAATCAGTAAATCTTTCATCGTCAATTTAGATTCAAATCTATACAAATTACAAGAATTCTTACAACTGTAATTTTTCGTCGTAACCATAGATAATGATTTACACGTGTCATAACCCCGCCATAACAAAGCGAGATCGAAAGCTCAGCGTGACTTCCGGCGAGGGCGGAAGCGGCGCCATCTTGGTGACGCAAGCGCCGCAGGCGCAGGTCATGGTGCACGAGGCTGAACCTAGGTTAATAGGGATATTTCTAATGCCTAGGAATTCAAAGAAAAGTAGCCCCTAGGCTACTTTGCGGTATAATAGTTGCATATAATTTCAATGCTTTTAAAAAGCTTGAAAGGTGGTCAGTAAAACTTCGTCGTGTATATTACAATAGAAAATCTATTGTAGGCAGTTGCCAAAGTAGTAAAACAACGTGCAACAAAACTCACAGCTCATTAAAACATACTAAATGTGAGGCAGTAACATAACCACAAATGAAGACAGCAGAACAAAATTCGTGCAACCAGTAAACTGCCTTTCCCACGCATTCGACTGATGTAATTGCACTCTGACCTTACTCTCACTGTTTGGCCCATTGTTTGTCCAATTTTATCGTTAATCTATTTCACTAGTACAACACAAGATAATGTTACAATAGGGTTATACAAAAAAAGTACTGAAAAATGCTTATTCTTGCAAATAAGTTAAGTAAGTACACAGACGTTTGGAAGCTAAGAGAGGGTGTTTTTAACTGACTTCAAAAAAGGAGGAGGTTACATGTTCGGCTGTATGAATTTTTTTTTAACCAAGTGAAAATAAAAGCTACAATGTACACTTTCAAAGTAGAGAGAAAATCTTGTATATCAAATAGAAAGTGCCATCAAATCTTGGCAACGATCCTATACCTATGAGGGCAATGCCAAACACATAACCACAACTTAAGCACTGGAAATCTTAAAAAACCCAACTCAAACGAAAGCTTGACACTTGAAAAAAATTTCAAATCACTTGACCCCGGCACCAAAATGCGTAGAATCGCTTTCAATTAACAAGAGCTAGAAAAACAAGTGATCTCAGCACTCTTGCGCAAGCGGCGCTGTTTACATATATTTTAATACGGCGATGTGAACGATTTAGCAAACGAATGGAAAGTCGAGACAATAAGTCACGTAACCTTTGCTATTCGATAAACTATGTAAATACGCATGGATTAAAGATCCTTTCTCAGTTATGAGCTTCGCTAAGTACTTGTTGATGTAAGAGCCTTTACGCTTTCAAATATCTAATTAACTTTAGTCATGATCAAAAATCCTATTTTTCAAGTCCCTGAAACATTGACTTAAATTGAAATTAAACTATTTTTGGCAAACTGCTCGTACATCAAAGATCGTACCTTTTGATAGAGCTTTTTATTAATTTTATTACCGGTAGCCCTCAGACTGACACTTATCGTTATAAACAGGTGTCCAAATCATATCTACCACCATCTAACACCTTAGTTCTAACTGCTAAGCAATTATAAGAATCATTATAGATAAACGATAACGTAACTTTGCCCTTTATTTGTTGTATAACCGCCGTGGGATAATCGCGAAAGCTTGAACTTTGTGTCTAAAGCTAATCCTTTTATGTAAGTGACTTACGGAAAGCTAGAGATACATGGATTGTTTGTTGATGCATTATTCATGCCTCGTCGGCTCTATCAACACTCTATCGTGATGAGAAACGATCTTATTGTACGCAATGGAGAGTATTAATCGATCATCACAGAACTTATTTCTTACCTGACATTTACGTGTTTAGTATTAGGCGGTTGAATAACCATCAAATACATTAAATAGATAACTAAAAGCTTAGTGAAATTAATTGTACTCTATTACACACTTGTCACTTAATCATTGACCAAATATCTAAAAATGGTTTAGAACTTTCTCAATCTGTTGACATGTGGAGTAACCTTTTATTTTTTCTTCCACAGTGCATAGCCCTGGCTTTGGTAGCGTGCGCCCGCGGTGAGGCGCCCGGCGGCTACAACTACAACCGCCCGTCCGGCGGCATCAGCGGTGGCTTCTCCGGCGGCATCGGCGGCGGCATCGGCGGCGGCGGCGGCTACCGCGCCGTCTCCTCCGGCTACCAGACCTCCGAGGGACAGAACGTTGACCCCCAGCTCCTTGAGCAAGTCCGCCAGATCCTCCTTAAGGAAGAAGCCTCCTCCGGCTCCGGATTCGGCGGCGGTTTCGGCGGCGGCCACGGCGGCCACAGCGCTCCCTCATCCTCTTACGGAGCCCCATCCTCCTCCTACGGTGCCCCCTCCACCTCATACGGAGTCCCCTCCGCCCGCGTCGTAGGCATCAACCTTGAAGGAGTCCGTCAGGCCATCCAGGTCGCCCAGTTCGAGCAGTCCGGCGGTTCCTCCGGCGGATACCCCTCGGGACCTTCCTCCTCCTACGGCGCTCCCGCCCAGGCCCCCTCCGGCAGCTACGGCGCCCCCTACTAAGTTTAAACCTATATTCCGGACACAAATTTCCAGATTGCAGTCTAGAAGTGCTGCGTCCGGATGAGACTTATTCGGGCGCGTCCGTAACATCCCCGGGCCAGTCCGAATGTTAAACCAATTTGGCCGGCAGCCACGTACAATGTAGGTGATGTCGACCCGCCGCATGCGACCCGCGGCCAACGCTTGCGACTATGCACGTACACGGGTTTTAGCGCGCAGCGACCAGCCAGGCGTCGTGACTCCCCCGCTGCTGTCAGGGTGACACCTGTCAGATGTCCCCCTGACAGAAGCGCGGTGGCGCCAAAAAGACGAAGTGGCTAGCCGCTGGGCTCGGCTCCTGTTTTGTATAAAGTTTATCATAAGATTAGCTTAATTTATGCAATAAGTTTTTATGTTTGTTTACAAAAAAAGATAAATACATTTTGACACCGTATCGACCACTTTCATTTGCGACCTACGAGAATTCCTTTAGTTACGTATACGCAAGCAATCATCACGCTATTTCAACACGTTTTTCTTAGCAATTTACCAGTCATTATAACTTAGAGACGTGAACTTTATTGTGCATGACTTATGTAACATAATCAAAACATCGTGAGAAAGTTCCGTACAAAAGAGTTGGATGCCAAAATAATGGCTAATGTAATCTTCAATTGGGAACAACGACGCGTAGAAATCTTTAGCAACTATGTTTAATCACAGGTTTTTACACACTTACCTGAAGGTCTCGGAAGATTGGAGAGTGCAGTAGCTTAGCAGGCCGGTGTGAAAACTCTCACTGCAGTTCAAAGTTATTATCGACACCTCACTAACAAGCACTGTCTTACACACGTTCTAAAACAAACACTGCAATTAACCACTAACTAATTAAATAGTAAACCGCAAAATATTTCATTTAAATGAGCGATTTAATCCTTCCGTGGATTTTTATTTTACACAATTTGATTGACAGATTGAAGTACCCTCTTTACAAAAAACAAGAATTCGTTTTATTTTTTAGCTAAGATCAAAAATGGCATACAGCCTAGCAACTTGATATTTTTCCGAATGCCTATTTAACCCAGTTGTTACGGATATCCCTTTTTTCTTACGATTCCTGTGATTTTGCATATATCGACTATTTAATGCATCAAGGCAACAGGAAAAATACAAAAAAAAATATTGGTCTTACGGAAACTCTGGAAAATGGTGTTTGATATACGGAACGCTAGTAATATGTACGGCCACTTGTATGAACTTAGAGATAATACCTACCTACTCTTTGCGACTTGCGTAAGTTATTATTTGCATAAAATATGGAATATTCATTGATAAAAAAATATTCAGAGTTAAATTTATTATTTTCAAATTTAATTCCAGTAGTGTGAACTGTATAATTATGCCCAAAACATTTTCTGGGATAAAGGGTAATATTATATTTCTTGCAAAAAACATTGCAAATGTATCAAAGCGTGAGTTTCATAAAAATGTGTGTTGTGACTGAATTTGAGATGTTAAAATACTTCTTCTCTGTTTATGTGGCGGAGAAAATCTCTTGGTTTTGACAGTTGGCGCAATTTTCAATGCATTTGAAGCAACTGTAACCACACTAAATCATCTCATTTACAAACAATAATTTCTTCATATCTTCAAACATGACTGACCCTGTCTAGGGCATAATTGGCAATCTAAGCTAACGGGATGCAGTCTTCTTCATCATCACAGGATGAAGAATTCTCTAGTGATTTCTAGGTGGGCTCTCATTTGTAATCCAGGCAAATCTATTGACACCAATTGACACTTTATTTTCATCACCAGAGTTCTCTTTGGTTAAGTCACCATTACAATTTTCCGGATTTTCCGGCGGGAAAATTGTGATTGAGTTAGGGATACACTCATCTTCATTTTTCTCTAGTTCTTCAATGATTTCATTTAAAGGAAAGGGCCTCGAAGGCAGGCGCTAAAACAACAAAATACCGCAGTTCATATTACTAGCGTTCCTTATACGGATCACTAAGTTTAACGTTGAATTAGTAACAGTTACTATAAAAATATTTATAATGTTATCGATTTACAAAAAGTGGGCTACAAACTTCCATATTTCGGCAAGAAATACTTTAGAATAAATACTTATCATGTTTGTATTCACCTTGAAAGAGTCATCGTAAAATTTACGAAAACAACAAAACGCTTACGATTGAAATGTGACACCCAATGGAGAACAGAACACTTCTGATGGACAAAGGGACCCCACAGCAATCGTTTAACATAAACAATGTTATCAGAAACCACCCTCATTGTTTATAATAATTTAATTTTTATGTTGATCCGTATATCAAACGCTAGTAACAAGTGGGTTAAAACGACATAAATGCTGCATTCCAATTTTGAAATTCATAAATCGAACGTTCAAAATCCCGTAGCATTCGAAAATCAAAATCACCTTCAACAAAGAAGAACTAATGAAATAGGGACCAATATGAAGACAATAGGATTTTAGCATCATTATTTCAAATTCAACCGAAAAATATTTCTTAGAACTCAGACGACAATACAATAGAGCATTTCTGAAGAGCTGTGGAGCGCAGACACATTAATATTTCCTAAGATCTGCAGTCGTCAATGCAGTTTCAAATCTCCCATTTTTTACTGCGAGATGAACCATCGCGTCATTATTGTGGGGCCATTAAAGTGACGTTCGGAACATAATGGTGGAGTAACGATTTGCTAAACATTCGCGCATTTGTCAGGCATAATAAATTATGAAGAAACACTTTCGTTTTTATTGTTAGTCAGCTCTATCATGACCGTTTAATGTCGTTTTCGAAACAACCAACCAGTAACAAGTAAAATATTGCTACATTAATCGAGATGCCGTCACATATTGCTACTGTTTGTGGTTGGTACACGCTGTTACTATTGCTATGCTATTAGATGTACGAATTCTGATGTAATTTTCTCAGACTCAGGTAAGGTGTAAAAGAGAAGAACATATATTGGGCAATAAATGACTAAAAAGCGCCTTGATTCTTACGGAATGAATTTAGATTTGTTGCAAGAAGACATTGCAGCACTGGTTGCAAATCGGTTGAGTACCACTTTCTTAGTTACTATTCTATATGTTATGTGAAGATGTTTTCAGATGTTTTCCGTATGTCTTCCTTATCAATAACTTGACCCAAATCGCTCGTTCTCTGGCCCCACACGCACTGCACTGCCGTCATTATGAAACCGCGCTCCCACGGCTAATCGCGATCCGTTACGTCACGTTACGTCAACAATGGTCAGCTTACGATTTGGAACATGTCGAAAGAGTCGAAACTGGCCTGAGGGTCTACGATAACTTGGACATGAATGGGTATGTCAGCATCAGCAGTCGACCTGAATGCGACCTGTAATTAGAAGTAGGTAAGCGCTACTTAATCTTAAGATAATGGCGTACTCAGATATGGTTGCATTAAGTACTTAAAGATTGGTATATCTACTTTAAGATTGGCTAATTCATGACTACTAATCCGCCTTCTCATTACTACGAATTGGAATTGGCCAATGGCGTTTAATTTAAAGCTATGGAGGCTAATGATAAGCTCTCGTGTGTCTGCTGAATTGATATTCGACTGATAGTAAGTACCTATGCGCTGGTGTAACGTATTTTATCACAATCCCTGTGTCAGACTTATGACCTACCTACCGTTGACGTCTGACATGGCTTTGATTTCAATCTACCTATCTATATGTATAATAGAAAACAATTAATTCTTCAGTGTGTCCCACCTGGAAACCGAACTCAGGAGTTCAGGATCCGACGAAAAAGTCCGACCACAGAATACATAAGTCCGACTCTAACCTTGTGGTTATATGCTTTAGTAAGCATTGAGGAGACGTTTTGACTGATTATTATGGAAAATTAAATGCATGTTTTGTGGGTTTTATGCTGCCTACCTTTTCTAAGATTGTCCAACAGGAGCTAACGAGGAGAATGCATTAATAACGATTTGGCATTGTTGTCACCTAAGAAAAAATAGAAAACGCAGTAATAATGCTTACGGACTGTTGCTCTACCAATAATTTCTCATCACAATTTACTAGAGCGAATCCACTTTCAACTGATCTAAAGTGACAATGTGGTATTACGTGGTAAGGCCTCTTACACTTACGAGTAATTGCAATAGGTCTTATTTCACAACAATATTTACAGACTACATTAGATGTGCAGACTTATCTGTACTGACAATCGAAACACTGTGAAATCTTTTGTATTTGCAATAAGAGTGCTTTATCAACATAAATGTACAACACAATCGAGCTTACTACGCATTTCGCTGGAATGCGACTCTCTCTCTCACTCACCCGCACACCTTCTTGCGTTCCTCCCGTCCGTACCAGAGCCCCGATTACGGTAACTTTTAACGTCTACAATCCAGACGCGTTTCTGATTCTGCAATACGATTGGTCAAAACAGCTGACTTACGCTGTTGAACGACCAATCGTATCGCAGAATCGAGAAGCGTGTCTGGATTGTTGACGTTAAAAATTACCGTAATCGGGGCTCAGAGGTGCGCAATGAGCTCGACCGGGTTGTATAGTCAGTCAGTCAGTCAGTCATATTGTTTAAGTAGAAATACTTACTTAGGTACTAGAGTTTGTCCCTAGAGGCAAATTCAAAACAATCAAAATAAATCTTGCCAAAAATATATTTAATTTCATTCATTTCATCACTTTCAAATCACAATGCCGTAATTTCGTACAGTAAAAAACGTAATATGGACACAAACAGTAAAATTGTGTACAATTAATTATCTACTTATCTCTAGATTGGCACTTAGTGAGCACATTACAATAATTTACAACTTATTTACAGAGTCCAGTCAAACGTACACCGAAGTAACATTTTTCTTTTAAAATAAAATATATCAAACCATTATAAACATAGAAAAAGAAAAGATGCTGTCAAAAGATAAAAAATAAGAAAAACAAAGAAACTTCGGACTGTCATTGTTACAGGACAGAATTTAAGATTTCTAACTATTGTTTTGTATTAGCGGACCTTATCTACTTAGTTACAAATAAATATTTACAGCATAGTGTAAATATGTTTAAAATAAAAAGCATATTAAATAAGGTGCACGTTTGAGTGTCATACACTTAACGTTACATATTATGACAAAAAGGTATTTTGGTTCGTATCAAGACTTAAAAGAAAATAAAAGTATTTTTGTCAGAGCTTGACAGTTTACTACAATACTTGAAAACGTTAATAAATAATACACTAAATCGAGAGACTACTAAAAATGGAATTTATTTTAGTGGAATAGACAAAGTTTAGAAATAGTCGGTAGAAATTAGCAAAGTACCGTTATTAGATTACCTTCGTTTGGTAGGGATTTTTCTTCACAATAATCTTACAGTTGTTACCCCGTCTGTGTGCGTCTGTGTGTGTGCGACGGGCGCTCGCAGTGAGTGTGCGAGCGCGACAGCAACATAATTACGCGCGAGCGATAAGGATGTGTAGCTTGGGGTCATTGGACAAAATTCTACGTGCTCGCAGACCAGACTGTAGGTACTGTCGGGATGGTTCATAAAATTGTTATCCTTTTTTTCTTTTATTGTACACGAAGATGAATCATGATTTAAAATACTGAATATCTTCATTCTACTCACACAATAGTTTCTAGCTTTCAAAAGTAACTATAAAATATTAAAAACTAAAATCCAGAATCTCTCATCTTATCATCTCTTTTCGGTAAATGTAGAAACAAATGAACAAATTGTATTTAAAGTTCATTAAAAAACCAACTCGTGCCTGAAGACAGTGGAATTAATTTACATAAAACTTGAACAAACAGCTGATAAGTA